ATATATATGTATATATATACATATATATCTTATATAAGGCGATAAACGGTGATTTTATGGGCAGTCAACACGGCTTGTGTGTTTAGTTGCATATGGGACCTCGAGGCAAACAAGAAGACGACGGACTTCGAGGCGCACGCGGGCGACGTAGTGAGCATCAGCCTGTCCCCCGACGGCAACACTTACGTCACCGGCTCGGTCGACAAAACCTGCAAACTGTGGGATTTGCGGGAGGAGAAAGCCAAGCAGACGTTCTTCGGTCACGAGGCCGACGTAAACTCCGTCTGCGTGAGTGTTGCTTGGCGGCGCGATCTCCGCGATACTTCACAGGATTTTCGTTATGTTTTTTTTTTTTTTTAATGAGGACGCTGCAATAATGTCGTGTTCGTCGCTTTTGTTTCTCCCAGTACCATCCCTCCGGGCAGGCTTTCGTAACGGCGTCCGAGGACAAAACCGCGAGGCTGTGGGACCTCAGATCCGATCAGCAGTTGACGACCTTCAAGCCACCGAACTCGAAACCCGGGTTCACGTCCTGCGGCCTGTCTCTGAGCGGCAGATTCATATTTTGCGGCAGCGACGACAACTCCATTCACATATGGGACACGTTGAAGAATCAACACAACGGTGAGTTTATCGTTCCGTCGCCGGGCGAGTAGACTGTTATTACCGAGAGACGATTATGCCAGTAAAAAGGCCTTTTTCTTCTTCCTGTGTCCTCAAGGTGTCTTATCCGGTCATGAGAACAGAGTGACGTCGCTCTGCGTCTCTGGTAACGGGATGGCAGTGGCCAGCTGCTCCTGGGATCAGAACGTCCGAATTTGGGTGTGAATACGTATAATTACATTTAAGATAGCTGTCCGAAGTAATCGATGAGAAAACACTGGGCGGAATATATTACCACGAAATATGTTGATGTTAAAAATCGATTCTTCTTGCACGAAACTTGCCTTTAGTCCACAATCACAGCGCAATCGGTGCCTTACTCTGTATCAAAATATTCTTTGCGTTCGCAATCTGCATCCATTATAAACTAAAAAAAATATATTTAAAAAATACAAAAAATTTTCTGTTTTGGATTATATCCTGCAAATGAGAACGAAACAATTGCAAAATAGCCAATTAAGACGGGTTGTACATAATCTACAGCAATAAACTTACCAACTCTTCAAGCCACAACGTGGAAACATTTATTAACTCGCGAAAACGGATTTTTGGTGTTGGCAATAGGAATTGCACTTGCGTCGTTTATTTCTACAACATAGACATGTTATACGGTTCCTTCCTATCGAATATGCTGCAGAAGAGTGCGTTAAAAAAATCGTATCGTGTCTTGAGATTTACTTACTAAATGCGATAGAATAGAGATTTGGTATATCGATTAGGCGTGAAGCGCGAGCGTCAAAAATACTGTGTTCTCTTCGCACAGACGGCAAGTAATCATTCGCCGCGATAATACCGTACATTTCAAATACATACTATTTGTTCTCGTGAGCATTAACTTAGGCCAGTCTAGCAACGTACATATGTGACACGTGTGTGTGTGATAAAACAATTTAAAACTTACGCTAATTAAAAGTCTTTTATATAGTGCGTCACGAAATTGTCATGCTTAACCAGCGCATCTACAACGAATTCTTTCCTAAGATTGATTCTATATATATATATATAGAAATTAAAGCCATTACTTAATCATCCATATCGTACACGTTAAGCGTTAAACGTTAAAAGATAACTAAAACCTCGATTAATCTCTCTAGTACATAAATCTTTTGGTAAAGTCCCATTTTTAATGACTAACTTTAAACGCACACGAGGGAACTTGTGCCGAACTTGAACCGTTTGAACGCAAATGTACAGCGCGACTTCGACGGAATTGAAATATATTCGATCTCGAGAGTCTCTTACCACAATTCGTGTGTGTTCAACGAACAGCGCGTCGTTATGTACAAATCGGTCGCGGGTCCGATGCGGAATAAGACGTGAACGACGGTTCAATAACGCGAGTTCACGTGAAACAACACTTTCCGTGGAGACGGGCACTCTTCGGATTTAAAATCCGTCCAGATGTACGAGCAGAGCGACGATCACCGTGGCCCCGGCTTCCTTGGTGGCCCACTTGCTGGACTCGCAGTGCAAATCGGTGCTGTCCTTGTCGCCAGGGCTGATCGTATACGAGCCGGGTCTCACCAGCAATTGGAACGCGGTCGACGCGTTCAGTTTCTTATTCGACTGCATGTCGATATATCTACGAAGTTGAAAATTATAATTGTAGTACGTGGTAAAATAATAGCGTAGAATAGCGCGTCCGGAAGAGGAGATACTCACGGATACTTTCTCGTGAACTCATCGGACGCTGCGTACTTGATGCTAGGCGAAAACGACACCTGGGGATTTTGATCCTCGCTCTTCGTGCCCGCCGTCAAGTTACTCACGTCCAGCTGCTCTTTGGTCATTAGCTCACCTCTATCTAGGATCAATCTAAAACGTACAACGTAACATTAAGAAGAAAAATAGACTGAGAAGAAATCTATTCTAATTGAAGAGCTCGATGCAAAAACCAGTCAGCTCCGTTTATCTTTTTTTGCGCCAAAGTGGATCTAACGTACTAAGCATAAGTGTTTCTTTAGTATAAGAAATGGACAGTTTCGACAGCTCCGGGCAAAGTGATTCTTACATATTTTAACGGTATTCGTAAAATATCTCACATAATATACTTGGCGACACAGATTTTTTTTGGGGGGGGGGGGGATTCTTATGCTTAATTAGAGTAGCATAAAAAATATTAAATTGCTTGACAATTTAATTCGTTACAGTAGATTCTGGCCTCATGTAAGAACTGTTTCAAAATCGACAATAAATGCGGCGCGCGGCTTGATATTGTAATAATAAAAATTATTACATACCAACATTCGTATTGGCTCGCATAGGCACTATTCAGTTACAGATTTTTTTTTGTTAATACTGTAGCAGTTTTGAAAAATAATGCTAATCGGTTTTTGCATCGAGCCTTTCAATTCTTTCAAGACGACGATTAATCGCGCGTTACCTTATCGCGTCCAGGCGTATACCGTAGAACGCAACGTGCCACTTGTCCGTCGTGCTCTGCGGGATCTGGTTGGCATTGATGCTCTGCTTCAGTGGGAATCTGGCCCAGCCGACCGGTATCGCGAATTCCGCGGGCGGCTCGCCCTTCTTGCAGATCGCGTTGTCGCCGTCCACCTTGTAGCAGACGCTGCAGTAGCACAGTATCTCATCGGCGGAGAAGAACTCGTCCGGCAGAACGAGCGACTTCTTCAGTTGCACGCACGCCCTGAGGTAGTCGCATTTCCTGGACGACGCGACGACGGTGGACCCAAGTGGAGTGGACGGTAACGACGAGGCAAACGGCACTGAGGACGCGTTGTACGGCACGTCCCGCTGATGATTGACCGTCGTGTTCTGGCTCGGAGGAGGAGGAGGAGGTATGTTCCCGTTGAAGGAGTTGTCGCGAACGTTGTCCCGGCTCGCGTAGGACCGCGACTCGTGGAAGCCGGGGCAGGTGTTGTTGGGAAGATCCGACAAATTGTTCTGCTGCGCGCTGCTTACGATATTGACTTGACTATTGGACGCTATGCTTTCGTTAATCGCGTTGTTGGCGTTCGCGGCGGTGATCGCCGCGTTCAAGCTGGTCATGTTGCTCGCGCTGGCGACCATGCCCTTCTGTATATTAATGTTGGTCGCGTTGTTCAGCTCCACGTTTGTACACGGGGCGCGGTTCTCCGCGTCGAGATTCGACTCGCTCGAATTGTTCTCGGGCTGCTTGCTCGGCGGCGCGACGTTGTCCAGGTTGTACGCGCGGTTCCTGGACACGCTTCGCGTGTCGTTGCTGAGCTCCGAGCCCGAGTCCGAGTTGTTGCTGTCGATACTCGACGTCGCTTTGATGCCCACGACTACGCTATTGTTCGCCACGTTCGCGCTATTGTTGCTACCGAAGGACGAGTACTCGGCCTCGAAGCTGTTGCCGTCCCTGGCGTTCGAACTGCACTGACTCGGCACACTCGGCGAGGTCGAGGACGGCGAGAGATCCGACGAGGTGGCCGCCATCGCGTTCTCCTTCTCGTGACACTCGAGATCGGCCTTCTCGCGCGAATTCTCCACATCCTCCGTTTCCACGCTCGCGCACTCGACAGGAGCCGCGAGCGCGTTGTCGATCGCGACGTTCGAGTAGGAGGTCTCCTCGATCACCCCCGCGATGGACACTTGTTCGCACTGCCCGTACAAGTCGAACACGGCAAAGACGTACGACGGAAGTTCGGTCGCGGCCACTCCCTGGTCCACGTTGTTGATGAACAAGTGCAGCCGATTGTCCTCATCGATCAGCAAGCCCACGATGGAGTTGCACTGAAGGCTCTCCAGGCCGGCGCCGTACTTCGTCTTCACTCTCACGCCGTTCATGAATATCCAATCGCTGCAGATGATCCACGAGTGCCTCTTGAAGCCGAGTGCCGTTAACGGGAAGCTCGTCTGCTTCTCTGGCGATATGCAAGAAACGCCGCAGAGGATACTCGACACCCAGCGCTCGTTCAGCTTCTCTATTCTAACTTGGAACTGCTTGCCCTTTATCAGCGGACGACTGGACATGACCACGCCCTGATTGTAGCTGGCCACCCGCTTGGCGACCGTCTTCGTTTCGAGCTGAACGTTCCTGCCGTGATTCTCGTGAAACTCGTAGCTCCAATCCCCGTCGCCGGCGGTCAAACCGCTGACGGCGGCCTGCGTCGGCGTGAGCGTCGTTTCGTTGATCAGCTTCCCCTCGGACACGTCGATGGACGTATCCATTCCCGCGTCGTTTCGCGGCATCGGATCCAGCAGCAGTTCCAGCGAGTCCTGCAGCCTCAAACTGGCGTTCGGCGATATCGCGGGATTCTGCTGTCTGCTGCTGGTGATGTTCACGGCCACGGTGCTGCCGAAGAGCTCGATCACCGCGTACACCATCTCCGGCACGTCGGACGCCGCCACGCCCATGTCCTCGCCGTTCACGTAGAACTTCAGGTTGCCCTCGTGCGTGCGCTTCACGCCGATCTTGTCGCCCACCCGCAGCCAGTCCAGGCTCGTGCAGTAGTTCGAGGCGAGCGCGAAACCCATGTGTCTCACCTCGTTACCCGTCAGGTACCAGGCGTCGCTGGGAATGGACGTCATCCCGGGCACGAGGTTCATCGACGTCAGCCAGTTGCCCGTCTCGTTACTCAGGACACCTATCCTCAGGCAACCGCTCCACTCGCGCGCCACTTCCTGAATCGCGATCTCGAACAGCTCGTTGTTCTCCAGCGCCGCCTCGCTCAACAATACGGCGTTGTTGTACTCCCTGCATCTGGTCGCCACCGTTCGGTCGCTGTTCAATTGAATGTTCAATCCGACCGACTCGTGGAACTTGTGCAGAATCTCGGTTTGCACCTGAGGCTGAATCACCGAGGTCGGCTGTTGACTAATACTGTTCTCCGACGCCAAGTATTGCTGCGTCAGAGGATCCCTGCGCTCAGGCAGCACAATCGTCACCTGGGACACATTATTCGAAATTAATACATTGAAACACAATTGTTATCGTATCGGGCGGGAAATGTGTATAACTCTGTACCTGTGCGCATTGACCGTACAAGTCGATCACTGGGTAAACGTTCGACGGTAAACCAGTACAGGCGGGACCCTGGTCCACTCCATCCAGAAAATAATGTAAGGAGGAATCGGAGCACCGCATCATTCCGATCCGATTGCCCTCCGTCAGCTTATCCAAGTCGCAGCTGTAGTTGTTACGCAACGTCACGCCGTCGCGCATCACCGTCGACCCGGAGAGCATCCACGTGTCGTGATCGATGTCCGTCATCGTAGACGGAAACTCCAACTCGTCAGGCCTTATCACAGTGACTCCTGTAAGCAGATTTTGCCCTCGGAAGTGTATAGAAAACCTCCATTACGCTCGATAGGTGTGCATGACGTTGCGATAAGTAAAACGGCAATTACCTGCTTCTATAGCACCGGACCATCTGGCGACCATTTTGTCTATCGTCACCTCGAACATCTCGTTGTCGCGCAGCGCGCGATTCGCAATCACAATAGCTTCGTTGAATTCACCCAGCGCTCGCGGCCTGGACGCCGTTAAACCGTTGTTCGTAATCCGCGCGTTCTTACCGTGCACGTGATGAAACCTTAGATCGCTGTCAATAGATTCACACAATCATCCACGTGCGCGGGTGGCGGCCACTAATGGAACCACTAAATGTGTCAAATTGTTAGAGGAATCGTACCTATACAACGTCGTATTACTAAAACTCGAATTGTTCGTGGTCGGACTGTAAAAGTCCACGTTGTCGACTATGGTGGCCTGAGCGGCCTGCCCGTAAAGATCGATCACCCCGTAGACCCTCTCGGGCACGTTCATCGCGGCCACGCCCTGATCGGCGCCGTTCACGTAGAAGTGCAGCGTCGCGTTGTCCTTCCTCATCACGCCCACGCGATCGCCGATCTGCAGGCGGTCCAGATTCTGACCGTACTGGTCGATCATGGTTGTACCGTTGTGCATCACCCCGTTGCCCGTCATCATCCACGTGCCGGACCTGCAATCGATACCAGCCGCCTTCGAGCAATAACGTAAGCGGACGAACTTACCGCGCGCGCACGGTGGCGATAAAGCCGCGTGAAAACTAGGGCTGGTGATTTGCTTCGAAGGCTTCGACATTCGAACTTCGAAGCTTCGAAATTTCGAAAAATATATTTGTGCAAATAATAAATTTATTCATAAAATTTGCAAATATTGTAAATAAAAAGAATATATATATACGAAATCATTCCTAAAAAATTTGGAAGTATTATAACTTGAAATATTACAAATTAATAATTAAACTTGATACATATGTAAATAAAGAAAGATAATGATCAATAAAACAATCCAATTAAGAAAATTTAATTTTTTCAAAGTTAACGTCGAAGCTTCGAATACTCGAAGTGAATAAAAAGTAACAGCCCTAGTGAAAACCGCTCGTAGCTGACGCGCGTGACCTTCGTCTTACCTGACATTCGTCATGGTAAACGGGAACTCCAGTTCCGTTGGGGAATGCGTGGTGACTCCTATCTCGATGGAACCGGCCCATTTAGTGACAATTTTGTCCAGTCTGACTTCGAACAACTCGTTCGGCTTCAACGGCCTCGAGGTCAATACCACACCGTTGTTAAAATCGTCTATGGCGCTGCGAAAGAAAATTTATATCTTTCGGTAAGAGAATAGGTGCATTTTAAAAAATAAGAAAATCAATACTATGTATATAACTTCAAATAAAACATAAATGTATGAAAACTTGCCACTTCAAGCTTGCACCGTTGTAAGGGCGTTAAAAAATAATGATTTTCGTTATAAAATATATTAAATGATTAAACGAGATACAAATATAAATGGTACATTATAGTTACGCATGTTATAATCAGTGTATATTTTGTATACATTAAAATTGTTATTTATTACAATTATAATAATAATAAATAACAAACTTAATATAAATTATACCATTTATACTTGTATCTCGTTTAATCATATATTTTATAACGAAAATCATTATTATTTTTTAACGCTATTTTTTGACGACGCAGGCTTGAAGTGGCAAGTTTTCATTTATATTTGAAAAAATATAGTGAGTGTTTACTTAGGTCTGTGCGCTGTACGCCCGTTGTTGATTACGTCGGCGTGGGTACCGCAACAGGGATGAAACATCAGTCTATCGGGAAGCTCTTCTTCTCCGACTTCTACAAAATTCATATATCGCACCAACGTAGCAGCAGTTTTTATTTCTGCAAACTTGTCGGAGAATCTGTGTATGCGTTACCTTCGCTGTCTAGACCTTGTAGCTGCAATGTGTTTCTCCTAGTGACTAGATTCTGCTCTTCCCTCTCGTCGCGATCAACAATGGTTACTTTCACGGTCATTCCGTAGAGGTCTATTACGCCCCACACACCCGCTGGTACTTTAGCGGCGATGCCTTGATCCAGACCATTTATCAAATAGTGCAGATCTCCGTTAGTCTGCCTAATCATTCCCACGCGATCGCCTTCCTAAGAAACGACGTGAAAGAATAACGATTTGAAGAAGAAAGTAAGTTTAAATATAGATCCAGCTTAAATAGATTACTCTGGCCTTATATTCGTACCCTCAATTCGTCCAAGTTGAATTCACCGTATTCCCGTTGCGTGCCCTTGCCATTCGTTAGAATACCACAGCCAGACATCATCGTTGTACCTGAACGCATATTGGTCATCGTTGCCGGAAACTCCAGTGCCGTAGGGCTATGAGTAGTGACACCAACTTCTATACTCCCCGACCACTTGTACACTAATCTGTCTATTCGTATCTGCAGCATAGAAATTTACGGAAAAAATTAGATAGCAAATGAATAATTTGTTATAGAAATTCACAACAGCAAGAGCCAGATGGTCCACATAAATATTCTTTTGATTAAGCATCTCTGAATGCTTACCTCAAACAATTCGTTATCTCGCAGCGGTCTGTGAGTCATGACGACGCCATTGTTAAACTCGTCGAGCGGCCTCCGTCTCTCGGCGGTTCTGGCGTTATTCGAGAGCTTCACCAGCGTGCCGACCCTCTCGTGAAACTTCAGCCGGTCCTCCCTTATCGCCGCGGGAGTCGGATTCTTCGGTAGATTAACGTTTACATTAACACTTAGATTAACATTTAAGTTAGCGACTAGATTGGTTGTTGAGGAACTGGAGGTCTCCCCCGCGGCGTAGTCATTGTTGATCTCGACCTCGTCCTTCGGCACGTTGCACAGAGCGGCGAGTCTGGGGTGAGAGACGCAGCTGATCTGCACGCAATCGCCGTACATGTCCACGACGGCGAAAATACGCTCCGGTATGTTGCTGACGGCGACGCCTTGCGAGACACCGTTGATGAAGAACATCAGCTCGTGCTGCAATCGCAGACGTAAGATTTGTCATTGGATTTCTATGCGAGGCAACGCAGATGAATACGCAGAGAGCAGTAAATTGTGAATTACATTGGACGTCCGCATGACTCCCAAACTGTCGCCCTCCTCCAGATCATTGAGATCCGTCCCGTACACCTCCACGATGCGATCTCCATCGTGAACTATGCCGGAGCCGGTCATAATCCACGATCCGTGACGGAGGTTTATGGCACAGGATGGTATCTCCAGGGTCTCGGGATCGCACTCCGTCACGCCGATCTCTATGCTGCCGCTCCATGATATAATCTGCGCAATACCATTTTTCCAGAGTTAAACGCGAATGGAACTTTCGAGAGCACTCCAGCAAGTGAGACACGGGAGGTCATTCCGCCTGTTGGCCGACATTCGGCGAAGAACAAGAATAGAATGACTTCTGTGCCAATAATGTGTCTCCTGTGCTGGAAAGCTCCCTTTAAACACACAATTGTCCCAACGTTATTCCTGTAACCCACGCCTGTCGGCATCTGCGGAGGAAATAAAAAAAAAACTTGACAAACGCTGGCCCACTCCGAGATAAATAACACGAAATATTTATCTAAACGCGCAAACGACGCGTATGTGTGTGCGATTTGCATATTACATTCCACATTTTGACGTCTCTCGTGCGGGCCGAGTTTTGGCCGTGGAATATCCACAGGGACTGGGGGAAAACGGGCCGCGGGCGCCCGCCGTGTCCCGTGCGGGAGACCCGCGTGTTTCATACCTTCTTTTCGATGACGACTTCGAACCGCTCGTCCACCTGGAGCGGCTCGGCGCTGAACACCAGGCCGTAATTGTACTCGGAGAGGTTGCGCTTGGCGTTGCGGTTGTTATTGCTGAGGGTGACACGGTGGCCGCATCGCCGGTGGAACATGTCGAACGCGGGTCACCGACGCGTGTGTGTTGTTGTTGTGTGTCGCGCGGCGCGTCGTGCCTGCTGGGCCCGTGCCCGTCCGTGCCGTGCGTGCCGTAGCGATGCAGTGCGATCGGTCGGTCGGTCGGTCGGACGGTCGGTCGGTCGACACACCAGGCGCGCCACGCTGCGCCCGCGCCGCGCCGCCGCGTCGCATCGCCGACCCTTCGTCCTCCGCCGCCGCGCGTTGCTGGGGATCGTTCTCCGTGGGGTTTTTTGTATTTTTGCAGGTGCAGAAAAAGAAGTGGAAATAGAGAAAGAGATTTTGCCCCTTCCTGGGCACTTCCTGCACCTAGATTGAAATAAACAACAATGGGAATGCTGGTTGTCCTTTTAAAATTTCAGCTTTCGCTTGGTTCAGACTTTTATATATTACCTGCCTCCGAAAAAAAGACTATACTTTTATGACGTTCTACATACGGAAAATTTAATATAAATTTTGTTGGTAATATCGATACTTTTCCGTTGTTGAATTTAGCGCGAAATGTTTGAGAAAAACATGCCTTTCACAGTTTAATTATTTGGATGCAGCAAGACGATTTGGTGGGCACATTTTTGCCATTAAAGCACCATCTAGAAGTTTATTGGAAAAACATTGTATCGTAAAGCAGTCGGTAGCTTCGATAGATGATAACTGTTAAATCGATAAATTCGATGTCGCATGCATCAATATAATTTAAATACCCGAAAGACACACTATTTTAAGCAAATATCAACAATGTAATTATTAATAAATAATAAAAACCCCCAAAAATCAAAGAAAACATTGAAACTTTTATATAGGATGTATAAAAAATTTTAAAAATTCTTGAGCTAATTTATGTCAGAAAAACATATATATGTATATTATCTTAAATTTATGACCGGTATTCATAATCCGATGTTAATTTCTTAAATCTAGTACGTCTTAGATAACTTCGAGATTCCATTCAACCAAATAAGTAAATCAAGATTACAATTTAAGATGATCTTAAATATATATAAGGTCGGGCTTATATTTTTTGACATATATGTTATGACAAATATGTATATGATTTATGATGTTTTTAGGATGTTTAAAATTATTTTAAGATGTTACTTTAAGACGTACATTTCTTAGCATTTTGAAAAATTTTCTAGTTTATATTAAAAAATCTGAGAAATTTCTAAAATTTTCTGAAAATTAAATTACAAAATTATACAAAAATTTTAAAAATGTGAAATTTGTATAAACATTCTAGAATAAATTATAAGAAGCATTTTAAGAAATAATTTCCTTCAAGGATATATATGCTCCAAAACGTCTTATCAAAGATTTAATATACACAGACATCTTTAGAAATTTTTGAGGTAAAAAAATCATTTTAGCGCCACGAGTCTAAAGATACTAAACTAGTATGTAAAATATCATCATGCTTCCCTGAATATACAGACAAAAAGAACTTTTTTTTTACTTATTTCTTTTTATAAATCTGATAACGATAAAATTTATATAATATTTAATATATATCTTCTATAATAATAATAATGAATTTACGTTATAATATCATATATATAATTAAAGTACTTATATTTGAAGGGGCATACTAATTTTGAAGATTGCCTGAGATATCGCGAGAAAGAAAAGAAATATAATTGTAATTCTTATTAATTAATAAAAATTACTTAAATAAAAGCAACTATTTTAATTTCCGGCGAATTCAAAAGATCAGTATTCTAAATCGAAATTTATCATATTTGTCTGTTTTTCCTAGATCTCTACGAGATAAGCCAACACAATATCTTCTATCAAAGAAAAATAGATACACAGTTCTATAGACATTAATATTATATATAGACATACATGTGATAATTTTCGAGGAAAAGTAGTTATAGATAAGAAAAAGTAAAGTCGAAGAATGCGATGTAGAAATATATATATTTAATCCGTATCGTACCATAAAATTTAAGAGAAAAGGGCATAAGAAATGATTTCATATCTATGGAAGTTTACTTCGTAAATCGATCACAGTCGCGAGTATTTTTAAACTTCTTAAATTAGTACACAGTGTACTCATAATTTGTTGACTGTAGCACTTCTGTGCCTTTTATCTTTACAGTTTATCTACTCTTCCTCGGCTTCTTAGCACGTCAGCATATCGGTTCTAATCGACAATGAGACCGTGTCATTTCGCGATAATAGATTGTTTCTAAAGAGAAATGATTGTTTCTAAAGAGTCCTCTGCACAGATCAAAGTCTATTCATTAATCTGTTGCCGATTACCTCTCTGCTCCCCCCCCTTTCTCTTTACGTTAACGAATGTTCAGTATGTTAATTAGATCAGTTCCGACAAACAGGATATCAATCATTCGTTCCGCAATGAAGACTGCCGTAAAAAAATTTGTCTCTTATTGTTATCACCGTCATCATCTATATTAAAAACAACTTAATTACAAAAAAAACCAGCTTTATGATATAGTAAATAGACGTACGCGCAATAGAAGAAAGTATATATAGTTCTTTAAAAAGAAAGTGGATGAAGACGTCTAATTATTAAAAAAATGAATTAAATCTATAATCTATATTTTTATGCTTTATATCTCTGACTATCGCTTTTCTTTTCACGGTTAATCTGTCAATTCGTGCATGCCGTCTAAAGTCGTAATCACACTACGGATCATGGTTCCGGCTCGGTTGCAGTTATAGAATATGAGTGTTGGAAATCAACGGAATCAGAGCGAAGTAGTTTGCCACGGGTTAGAAGTAAAATTTAGATATGAATCTATTTTCTGACTTGTAATCTAATACAATCAATCACAATCAGTTATTCTCTTCACATTCGACTGTAATTTTAATTTTTTTTTTTGGTCAATTTTTTACGGCTTACTGCTACTACGCATTGCTTAAATCATGTAAGAAAAACGTAAATAATAAAACGTAAGCAGTAAGTAAATTAATTCTTTGATTTGCTACTGCTAGAGATGGAAAATTACCGTCATTTTCAATCTGACAATTACTTGCAGTAAAATTATGGTAAAAATGGTAATTCTTGGTAATTAGGATATAAATTTTATTCTTAATAGTTATATGCCCAAATAAGCTGTTTTCCGCATTAATAGATAAGATAATATTCTTTTTATATTTTCAAACATATTCTCATATTAACATTGCATCTTAAGCTTTTCGCACATGAAATACGTATACTTCATTACTTCCTCCATCTTTTAACTTATATTAAAATTTTGAAATTTAATTTTTTATTTTATTAATTAAAACTGTAAAACTTTTTCTGGGATATTAGTTGTGCATTATTAATTATAGTTATAAAAAGTTCAAAATAGAGTAATTTATTTTGTTTTTATAATTCTATGTGTTTTTTGTTTCTTATTATATAAAAAATTTTATATAGATACTATAATAGTCGCAAAAATATAATAAATATAAATTAATAATAATATAAAGTAAATAAAGATTTATCTGTTACAAATCTGTAAAACATGAATTAAAGTGTTTATTCATTCTTAATGCTAAATGATTCTTTAAAACTTTATTTTAGTTTTTTTTAAATTACCATTTTATCAAGTCCCCAAAATTACCTTACCATTTACTTTAATTTATCAAATAAATTATCATCATATTGGGTCATTTTCATCGCTAGACTTACTCTTTAAAAACAAAAACCAAAACAAAAAGAAATGTTCAAAATTAGTAATTATTGTAATATATCTACAAGCATTAATTATTTCTGTAATAACGCTTACGTTCAAATATTTCCCAACATCAATTTTGTAATATTAAATTCCACTCCTTGAATTCTTTGTTAGCTCAAACGTTTAATAATTTGAATTTAATTTGCATTAAGGTAAACTTGGTATACGCCGCACCTATTAAAAACTAATTTATCAGATATTATCTATTAAGTTTAAGTTAAATGAACTATCCCAGTAAAAACTTTATACTGTTTACTATTATAAAAAAAATATTAGAAATTCAAATTATTTATTTTTTATATTTAAAAAAAAATTTCTTTAAACCCTCGCATTTTTGTCTTATAAAAATAGGGGTGGGTTATACGGCTACTCATAAGTGGGATAAATGACTCGAAAAATATACAAATAATCTAAATAATAATAGTGAATAACACGTGAATTAACAACGTAATTTGC